CAGAACACAGTTTGCGAGAAAGTATTCTTTTATCATATTTGCATAAGCAAACAACAAATATACCCCCGGCTGGCTTCCGTAGTATGCATGTGGGCGGTCTCGGGCCGGATCCGGCCCACAACTGGTTTCAGTCCGGCTCACAGAACGAATAGGAGTATGGTGCTTAACTAGACGAACGGAGGAGCAGGAGGGATGGGGACTATTGTCCGTACCCGCGGGTAACACATAGGGTCCCGTACCGCGGGTAACACGTAGGGTCCCGTGGAAGTTTTTTACGGGTAAATTAATATCTCGAGAGACATGGAGTCTAGGAGGCTGAAATTTTAGGGCAATGACCTCCTGCCCGCGCTCAACTTTGCCCATTCAAATTCAGCCTTCTCGTAGCCGCGAATATTACGTGCGGCCCCGTGAAAGTTTTTTTGCGAGTAAATTAATATCTCGGGAACCACGGAGTCTAGGAGGCTGAAAATTTAGGGTAATGACTTCCTGCCCACGTTCGACCTTGCTTATTCAAATTCAGTGTTCCCGCGCTCCTGAGTGTCACCCACGGCCTCGTGAAACTTTTGGCGGGTAAACTATTAACTCGAGAATCACGGAAAGATATTCACCTTTGAAGGTTTCGAATTCAGCTTTAGTGCGCCGATACGTGAAATTTTTATCTATTTTCCAATTTTTAAACTATTTTTGCATAGACTAAAGTAAAAAGCAGTGAAAATTATTAATAGGCAATCGTTCGATGGCCTGAATTGCACAAAACGCATGATCGCACCGGCTAGTCTGGTGCGCGTTGCTATTTATTCATAATTTCTTCTTTATACCGTTGTTGTTTTGCTTCTTTTGAGTTCACGAAAATTGCAGAAAGACAATGCCACAAATGCAGTTTCTCGAAGACGAAGAACGGGTTAGTTACGTTTTGGATTAGTAGTTACTGGTGGTCAAATTTTTTTAAGTAATTATGTTACATTCTTACTTTTTAATGTCTCGAAGAAAGAATAATTTAGGGCCTAATTTCACGTGGAAAAAACCTTCTGTACGAATCATTTTTTCGTTTTTTTTCGCTGGTAATTTGACTGATACATTTTACAAGCGCCATCAGCTTTCTTCTGCGCAATTCTCGGAAGATTAAGCCATCTGTAGTTGCTTTCGGTATTGTGCTTCACAGGTCCTCAGCTTTTAAAGAAACAGATTTTGGAAGGAGTTTTTGTTCTGTGTTAAATCCGTTGTCGTTGCGCCTCA